GCAGCGCTGCGGATCCGCGGTCGCCGCCCCTGGCCGCCGCGCCTCCGCCCCGTCTCCGCCTCCGCCCCGCGGACACCGGGCCCCGCACGTGCCGCCCCGGAGCCCGGCGCGCAGGGGAGCGAGCTGTCCTCCGAGGTCCCCCCGGAGCCCGGGCGGCGGCCGCGGGACACAAAGGAGCGGCGGGCGCGGGGACGACGCCGGAGCCCGGGAGCTGCGCGCCGCCAATCCGCCTGCAGCAAGTTTGCTCAACTCGGAAGGCTGAAACCCGAGCCGGGAGCGGGGGAGGGGCGGCCTGGCCCCCGCCGGGCACCGGAGGAGAGCCCAGCGAGGGGTCAGCCCCCTGCCGATCCCGCGGTGGGTGCCCACACTGGCCTTCACCGAAAGTGTTACGGTTTTGTCAGTTGTCAGCGTGCGCTACCGCTGTTTTGTAAAATCGTACTTGCGAAGAAAAAAAAATAATAATAAAGGCAACATTCATGCAGCTGCAGAAAAGGTTCTTTGTTCACGCACCAATTAATTTGCGGATGTCGCTCTGGAAAGGTCATTTACTGTTGCAAGCTATATTTGGCTTACTTTAACCAAAACTGTGGAATTTGAAGTGTTGGGATTTTTATTGTGATTGTTTTGAAAAAAAGAAACTTCTAGCAGTTTGCTTGGATTTTTTTTTCAGTACACATTCCAGTTACGTTATTTAATAATTGCTCATGGAAAATAAGGATCGTGGTAATGCATGGATATTTTAGATTCTTTCTTGATGACAGGCAGGAAAGCTTGCGGATGCCCCTGAAGGGCCTCAGATATAAAACCATGAGAGACTGCTGGGCCAGAGGGGTTACTCTGGGTCTCCTCCATAAACATTAAAATTCTCACAAGCGCCTCTCACACCGTTCAAAGAGTTATTGTTTATCCTTTTACTTATTTGCTCGCATTTGAAGTTGGGCTTTTTTCTTTTCTCAGTGGGCCTGTTTTGAGAGGCAGGGGGTGTCTGAAAGGTCCTGGAAGACTGAGGTAAGCAAGAAGCCTTGGGGATGTCCACAGCTTTTTATTAGGAACCAGTATTGCTCAGCTGAAACAGTGTGCTAGTTTCTTGTCCATAGACAGGGCAGAACATGAGACATTCTCTATGTAGTTTTTTTTTTTTTTTTTTTTTTTTTAGTCCTTTTTGTCCTTTGAGATGATTCTGCCTTTGCTGCCCACACTGGTTTCTAACTTTTTGTTTTCCTTCCTCAGCCTCCCAAATAGCTGTAAGTAGAGTCATACATCAATCTGCTCAGAAGGTCACTGGTAAAAACAAAACAAAACAACCTAGTCTACACAATGAGCCCCAGAACAGAGTAACGGAGACTCTATCTCAGGTAGGTAGGTAGGTAGGTAGGTAGATGATAGATCGATACATACATAGGCAGGCAGATAGACAAATAAATGTTCCTTTGTACCCAAGTATAATTTATTGTAGTTTCTGTAAATAACCACCCCGGAAGATTCAAATATGCAATGTCACATTTCCTCTTGCATCGACAGAAAATGTATTTTCTCACCATTCCCTTCCAATGACCCACTTGTCAAACAAAAAGACCAGAGTGGATAAATAGATTTTTAAAAATATGCACAAATATGATGAACTTTAAAAAAATTTTTTTGAGATGGTTTCTCACTATATTGCCCAGGCTGGTCTAGAACCCTAGGGCTTACCAAGCAATCTTCCTATATCAGATTTCCAGAGTAGCTGAGACCGTACATGGTTAATGAATTGTGAACTGGCTTTTGTAAATGAAGGTAAACCTGTCATATCTTATACCATGGGTAAAATAAGCCACATGAACGAGGGTGTATTATATCATTCCATTTAAGAGTTACCTAAAGTAGCCAAGTTCTTAGGGATAGGCAGTAAGAGTTTCAGGGGCTGGAGCAGGCAAGGACTGTTATTATGCATATAGAGTTTCAGTTTTGGAAGATGAGAGAGTTATAGAAATCAATTGTGTAACAAAGTGCACACAGCTAATCACTAAAACATGGTTAAGGTAGTAAATTTTCTTACAATACAAAGTTGTTACTTACAATACAAAGTGTGTAAGGACTTGCAAAAAAGACACAAGATGTAACTGGGAAGTGGCAGAAAGGGACAAAGTATTCTTTTTCTCCTCTACTTTTGAGTGTTTTGACCAGTCCAGGTAGATATGGAAGATTGTAAGATATACAGGACTTACTCTATACCCTTGAGAAGCTGAGTCTGTCAGTGCCCACTAGATTCTCTCTCTCTCTCTCTCTCTCTCTCTCTCTCTCTGTGTGTGTGTGTGTGTGTGTGTGTGTGCGCGCGCACACACATATATACATATATTCTCCATATAATATACTCAGTCCTTCTGGATATGTTGGTATTGTGGTAAGTCTAACATAAGCCAGTGTGTTCAATAGCAAAGGGAGGTACATACAAAGTACAAGGATTAAAAGTTCTGCGAGTGTCTAAATCTGTGCTGTGCATGATTAGGGAGAAGTTCACAGGGGAAGTAAACAATATCTTGGGTCTTAACTGATGAGGAAAGGTTTACTGGATTTGGGGAAAGAAGTTGGAAGGGAAGAAATGAAGGAAGAACTGGATTGCTCAGGCAAATCCCATGTAAAGGTATGGAAACCTGCATTACAGGAGAAGCAAGCCATGAAGTAAGCGCTGGCTGTCAGGAAACAGAATGCTGAGGTCAGATGCAGCAACACTCTGATTATACACTGGGTGTCTCTGGTTGAGCCCCTTCTCCAAGTAAGTCTCCTGGCAGGAGTGATGACATTCTAAAGAGATGCTTTGTACCCTTCCCTTTGGCTAAGCATTTCCGGCAGGAATCTTACTGGGAAAGGGGAAAGCCTAGTGCCAGCCAGGCAAGGAACTTGTCACCAGGAAGAGATTTCACAAGTTCGTTGTAAGTCAAGCTTTCAAGAGAAACTGGAACCGAGACTGAGTTGATGGGAGAGGAGACCATACTCTGACCAGGACTGCTTACCCTTTGCCCTCTGTTTAAACCTAAACATCATGTCTGGATCCTGAACTCAGATAGTCACTGGACCTCTTTATTGAATTTCCAAGGGTTATCACAGTAAATAAACCTCCTTTATCTGTTTTTCAGTGTTTCTTGTCTGTTTACTTGGTCCACTCGACACTGGTTTCTGAGCCTATGTTGTTAGGGCTGCCAAGGCACAGGCTCTGTCCCTAACAGCTCTGGTAACAGCCTTCTCCACATGAGACATGATCTGCTTAGATGCTCACCAAACCCATTTTCACTTCCAACATAAATAATTGAATTTTCTAAACTTTCTGGATATAGGTTCAAGCCATGTGATTCATTCTTACCAGAGGCATGTAATCCTGCTGAGCTTCTGTAAAGGTGGGGAGCAATCCCTTCCCCAGACACTGTAGGCTATTGAATAGAACCCCCAGTGTCAGGTCTGGGTTACCTCTCCCAAGATCTACAGGCTATTGCCATTATTCTTAGTTACCCTCCAAAACTTGGTGATGAGACTCTGTTTTTGAAGACGCCGCACACCTGAGTGATCGGGCGTGGAGAAACTAAGCTAGTACTGACCCAGACGTTTCATTCCTACAGGGTAGCTTTCCATGCACCACTACTTTCTACGGAAGGTTCTGTGCACACTACTGGAGGAAAAAAGTCATCAACAGTCATACCTGTCTGTGAGCTCAGTGAGCTCTAAAGATGTCTGGCCTGGCAAAAAATGTTCACTGGTAAAATAGTTTTGAGAGTAAACCAGCCACTTTCTGACTGGTTTGAAAGCCCTCTGTACAAGATGGAGCCCATGCATGGTACCATTAACAAGACCAAAAACTGGAGCTTAACTAGGTTGTAGGCCCTAGAAGAGAACATAGCACTGTTATTCTGTGAAATGGACATGGCAACAAACTGCCTCTTAGTTATCTTCATACCATAGATCAGTATCTCTCTCAACACTCATCAGAGAAGCTTCTGTTTACAATAGCTGATAACACAGAGACTCACAACCAGTCAACATGAAGAGACTAAGAGCCTGGACTGCTCAGCTCTACAATCTGTATCACGCTCCTTCACCCCAAGTTCAGGGGTCATCATAGGAGAGGATCTGGAAAGGTTGTAAGAGCCAGAGGAAGTAGATGTCAGCAGCAAACATTATTTGCTGTGTGTGACAGCACAACAGTTACACACATGAACTCATAGTAGCTAGGACTGCATGCTCAAGATTTGCACAAGAACAAGCTAGTGAAAATTCCAGCATGAATGGGAGAGGGTCTCAAGCAGTCCCACTCCTGTCTGAGGAGCTATTGGAAACTGATGGCTGCTAGGGGAAAAAGAGTTGGTTTTCTTCAGGGTTGAAAGCCCTCTGTCCAAGATGGGCTCTGAGAGGCTACTCAAGATTCTAGCAAAAGTTCTAACACCTACACACATATGAGGGGGAGAGTGAAAGAACATGAAGTTGGGAAGGAGAAGGGATTCAAGAGGAGGGAAGAGGAACAGATTTGATCCAAACATATCATTATTCATGTATGAATATTAAGTATAAAAATTTAAAATACAAAACAATGAAACCTTTAAAAAATATATACATACACATACAC